GAGATTTGTAATTACATAAAGCAGAGGTGTGGCAAGATTTATACTTTATATTGAAAACGTTTTACTTAAAACTTTATTAAGGTCATGATCTTCAAATCGGGGGCGATCTAAAAACAAAAAGAAAGTTGATTAAATAACGAACATTCCTACGGGCATTTGTACTTTTGTATGTTTGAATATACTGTTAATATACGTAGGGGTAAAAATACATATGCATATACTTACGTACATAATTGTGATACCTAATTTCATCCATATGCTACATTTTTGTTACATTTTAAATGAATTACTTGCACAACAGGGTAGGTACCCCGCAGTAAAAAAAAAAAAATTATCAAGTGATTTAAATGACCAACTTATAGTTAGCTTTTTTGCTGGATTTTGATATATAACTAACTTCTAATTAGCTATGACAAAACTAACTTTAGATTAGTTGTAAAGTCGCGCAGGAGTCATGCAGACGTTATCGGGAGTTTGTTTTCTTTACAAGCTTCCATTTAAATATCCGCCTACTAAAAATACTTTCAATACACTTTTTTCTGCACTTCGCAGATTCTTTTTCGAATTCAGAACATATAAAGTAAAGATCGAAATTTTACATTATTATTTTGATGTTATATCTGATGGAATTCAAATGTGGGACCACCTACAAAATAAGATTAAAAATAGTAAAAAACCTTTTTTATTGATAGTTTATGTCCAGAAGTAGTTAGATACAAGTTAGTTGACATCCAATGCAGAGGAAACCAGTTCTTACTAGTTTACGGCCATCGTCCTTCAAAAGTAGTTAGTTATAAATAAATAAATAAATGAAAAGTTATGGCTAACTAAAAATTTTGCACCCACCTTTATGTACACTATTAATAAAATTGGTGATAAGGGATTTACCATCCATAAAATGAAGGTCTGTTTCCACGAGCCTGAAATTGCGGAATTTTGACACTCAATTACAGTTTGAATTTGTAGCTGTTTCGATGACAGTTTGTTTATTTGTTTGTTGTTGTTTGGTTTCTATTTGCTTCTTTTTGGCGTTTGTTTGCTTTTCTTCTTTTAGGTCATTAATAATTCACATAATGCAATTTTCAGAGTCGTATTCGCGAAGCTGGGGCAATTTCGAGATTGATACGCAATTTCAGGTGACAGTTTTATCTATGGCCAAATTGAGAACCGTACCGCAATTTCAGCTGAAATTTAGAATAGTGTCGAAATTGCGCAATTTGGGCGTCTTGGAAACGCGCTTTAAGATAGTTATGAAAATTTGGGAAAACGGACGTGGCACCGCCCCCACTTATGATGAAATGCTGTATCTCTGTGGCCCCTTTACCAATCCCCACAAACTTGGTGCGAACTTTGCTTACAGTCTCACTAAGAAAATGTTTAAAATCAGGAAAGAAGCACATCTACCTCCAATGTAACGGTAATTTATAGAAATACGAAAACTGCGATAAATTAGTAACTACTGAAACTAATTCACTGAAAATCGATATATGCAATGACCTCTTAGCAGAAAGTAACACCAAGAGAAAATTTTTGGAAAATGGGTGTGGCACCGCCCACTTATGTATGTTCTCAAATATGTATCTCGGTAACAAGTTCATCAATTTCTATCAAACTAGGAACAGTTATTGACCTTGGTTAAAAAAAGGAATATGTTGAAAACTTTTGAAATTGGACTTCCACTTACCATACATATAACGGTATATATCAGAAATACGAAAACTCCGATATTTCAATAACTTAAAAACCAATTTACTGCAACTTACAACAATCTTTTAACAAGAAACAAAATTATAAATTTTTTGGAAAGTGGGCCTGGCAAAACTGCCGCATTCGGGGATCGCACGTGATCGCCGAGAAGCCATCATTGGGCCATTCTTCTTTGAAAATTCTGCTGGAGAAGCTATTTCGGTACACGGTACTGCGATTAAACTTTTTTTGGGGTGCCGTAAAGAACCGAGGGTATGTGAGATAGATGCAGAAAGCATCACCAAGGTATTGGAAACCTAGGTTAACAGAATGTTATTTTTAATATTTTTTTTTTTTTTAATAAACCACTTTATGGACTTCACTGTACATATACACGCTGTATGTATATAGCCACAAACAAGATCAGGCATCGCTAAACATCGCAGCGAATAAACAAACCGCGAAAACTGTGCACGACCTTTCACCAGCTCTTCTTTTACCTTTTAATCGATTCCAATCTTCTGTGGCTTTGCGCATAATCGTACATACATACTATGTATTTACATACATATGTATACAGTGACTTAAACAGAAGACCTTTTTTTATATTTATATTGTTGAGTTGAATTTTTTTGTTATTTTTCTATAAAAATACATGTTGTCCAAGCTTTAACCAAAACCATATACATAAAGCACAGTTTTGAACTTTCAACTTTTTAATCTGAATAAAGACTTTTTGTAAATTGCACTTGTTTTATAAAAAAAAAAACCGCAAAAGCGGTCTCCGAAAAAAATTTAAAAAAACCAACGCGATTTTTTACCAGGTTGAAATTAGCACTTCATACATTTAAATTGTATGCACTATGAAAGTGCATACCCAAAAATGTTCTAAAGATTCAATTTGATGAAAATCCGTTGAATTTTTTTAAATATTTTATGAAGTTTGAAACTGTGATTTATATGTTTTTGGTTAAAGCTTGAACATTATTTTTATAGAAAAAAAAATATGCTCGAAAAACATTACGTATTTATATTAAAAAAAAATAAATAAAAATCCACACGTGGTCCTTTCTTTGAGTCACTGTATATGATATGCATATATTTACTTTCTGCTACGTTGAGTGCATTAAATGCGTTTTGGCTTAACGGAGCTTTTTGTGGTTAAGATTGGTTGAACTGAAGCAGACCACCACCATTGCCACCCGCCGACCGAGTTTCGTCTCTGCAACCGCATAAACAAGCGGCACTGGTAATCAGGCATGGCTTTTAATTTTGTTTCTTTGTGCCATCATAGTTTATAAACCAAAGCACAGACGTACATATACAGTATGGATACATACATACATACATTTACATACATAGACATATGTACATATGTGCGTACGTTTTTCGAAACCACAAGTTCGGTTCAAATGAATTTTATTTAGTACAATTTTCTTCGATAAGAGTCACTAAACTTAACTTCACTTCTGACAAAAAAATAAATTATAATAATAATACTAGTACACATATATAATAAATGTACATAATGCACGTTTGCTTGAAGAACATTTTAATCCGAAATTTTGGCTTTTAGGTTAAGGATGCACAAACGGCCCTCAGCCCTGCTTTATTGTTGTGAAAAAGCGTCATAATGATATTTGTCAATTTGTTTGTTTTCTCTAACAAGTTTCTTTTTAAATATCCTCATACAAATATTTTATTGAAATTCAGGACAAATAAAATTAAAATCGAATTTGTATGTTGTCATTTGTAAATTATATCCGTCGGGATTCGAATATGAGACTACCTAGAGAATAATATGTAAAAAAATACATATGTCATGTTAAATTAAGTAAATAAATAAACCAGTAAAAAAATTTTTAAATTTTCTTATTGATATTTTATGTTCAAACATAGTAAGTTGCAGCACCTTATACAGAGGTAACCACCCTTGACTGCTTCACGGCCATCGCCACACAAATATACATACATAGTTGTCTGTCTTCAAAGAGAATACACAGAATTTAGTGGCCTCTAATTCCTTCCTAATCAACTTCAATTTAACTTATAGTTAGATACATTTCCAGCAGGGTAGATATATACACATACATATGTACATATGTGTGTACATTGTACCCAGCAGCGAAAACGCCACCAAATCCAGAGTCGACTCCAAAGTAACGCAATAGCATTACAATATGCATGAACTGCTTCTTAAATGTAATCAATTCCCTTTTTTTATATGCCTTACATTTTGTTAAAAATATTTTGCTAGACATTTCTATATACATATCTTCATCACATAAGCTGCATTACCTTGTGCTAAGATTAATTTAAAAGTGAGTAATAAAAAATCGCCAGCTTCTGGGATTTAGGTACCCATTTACGAAAGATGAAAACCAAATTTGTAAAGTAAGGGTTCGACTGAAAAAATACGGAATAATAGAAAGTCTTACGTAGCTACACGAAAATAACTCCACTCATGCTACTGAACATCGTCACAAAACGAAAAATTTCGTTATTTCACATAAAAGCATCACTGGCCGATCGACAGTGTTTGACGTATGCCAATATTCACGATAAATGTGAGACATGTGCCACTGTTCAGTAGTAAGGGTTGCCTACTTCGGTTGTGTGACAAATGGCAAAACTGCGGCCTTGCCAGATTGGTAACAACTAAGCCTATGTCGATTTGCCACAGAAAAATATAGTTATTTATAAACCAAATCCGCTAAATAATTCAAAAACATGCAATCTTGAGTTATGCCGTTATTTTACAGGACCAACGATATATACTAAACTTTTGTTGAAACTCTGAATTTGGTAGCTCCAACTTTTCCACAGTGATCTGGTGGCATTTTATTACACTTTTTAACCGGCTTCAAACAAAGGAGAAGGTTATCAATTCGTCGGAATGTGTTTTTTTTTTATGTATAACTTTGGACCACCTCAACCGATTTCGATAACTCATTTTCTATCGGAAAGGTAGTGTCTCACAGGTGGTCCCATACTAATTTGGTTTAGATCCGATCATTGCGCCATGAAAAAAATAACGGTTTTCCTTAATTTGTATATGAAAATTGAAGTCGGTTGTGTTTTTTGCTTAAGAATTACTTGTTGATAAACAAAACCGACTTCAAATCTCTTATAAAAATTTATTTTTTATCGTTAATTTCTTCATGATCCAATGGTCGGATTTAAACCAAATTAGTATGGAACGACCAGTGAGGTAACGCCTAAAACTAGGAAAATTCGTATTATTTACATACTACTCCAATCTAACAAAAGTTTTACTGATTTTACATTTTATGGTCATTACAATTTCTTTCCAGCTAAAAATCATAAATAGGCGAATTTTGTAATGGCTTTATGAACACCCGCAAAGTGAAGTTAAGATTTTGGTGCTTGAAAAAGGAGCAAAATAAGAAGGTAAATAAATACATACATATGTATGTCATATAAACAACATCACCAAATGATATAATTTTCTTAAAAAGCGCATCATAAGTACATATAGTGTATATATAATACACACATACATATATTCAAGTATACTCATTTTGGTTGTTGCGTATTTACAAAGAACTAACTACTAATTCATTTCTAATTTTATTTAGATTCATCAATACAAAATCTACTGAAATTTGGATCAGAGCAAACGGAATTCAATGCCAATGCAAGTCAACATTTCGAATGTTCCAAACCGCTTTCCGCAACCCTATCCATTCTCCCTAATCTTTGAGAAACGGTTTTTGCTTGGAGTTTCCCTACGAAAAAATGTCAGAAATAGTTAGAAATGACGTCAGCACTGAATCACTCTGCACCGTAATAGAAAACTTTAGCGGAAATAATAGCACCAATAGTAAGCACAACACAAGTAGAACCCTCCATAAAAACTCCGATGATCAAACCAACGTATCAGAAAACCCAAATGTTCCTTCCAAAGAAATTATTATTAACTTAGCCACCAGCAGCGACGTGTCGGACAAATCACTGTATGATACCTGTGATACATCTCAAGAAGAATCGAATACGTCAAGATCGGAAGCGATTAGGCCAAGCACAAAGCTCAAGAAATCGGTTTCCTTTGATCCGCAAGATGAAAAAGTGCGTAAATTCATTGCCGGCGAACCGATTGTAGATCAGAAGAATCCATTTAAACAAAATTATTCCACTTGGGCAAATTCTGCTAAGAAGAAGAAAATTCCGCCTCCGGTCCCAACCAAACGATCGACGTTGAGTGTACGAAAAACTGTAACCCAACAACTGCGGGAAAGAGAGCGTGAGAAAGAGAAGGAAAAAGAACGACTAAAAAACGAAACCAATAATCGAAAGTCAAGCGTTGGCGTCAAACCATCCTTGCCATCTCCCGACGACTTTGTCACCACTGAAGAAGTCCTCAATCAATCCAAATATGTCAAGACGTACATAAAAAATCCGGATCCTTACTTTGTTTATGATCCGACGATACTTGCTCGCCTTAAGTGTGAAGAATTACGTGATCTTGCTGAGAAGAAGCCACAACAAAAAAAGCTACGTTTATCAAACCAAACCAGAGATCGAATAAAAGACTTAAAAAGCAAGCCGTCAGCAGAGACATCACTTTCATATTCGAAACTCCCATTTAAGAAATGTTCAAAGCCGAATTATCCCGATCTATCTGATATTAAGATAAAAGTGGGTACCGACCTGGACGGAAATTTCTTTAACCCAGCCGAAGTCTCTAAGAACGCGAAAAAATTCGATGATAGAGTGAAAAAGCTCCATATAAGTTCTGATGATGATCTAGATGAATTAGATTGTCCCCTAACCAAAAGCGAGTCGAGTGACGAAGTGACACCAAATTTGGTAAATAAAGAAATAGTCAGCGAACACGAAAATAAAGAGGCCAACGCTGAAATGATGAACGCAGAAAGTCAATTTAAAACGCCAGTTGAAGGCACATTTACCGACACGATAAAATCAAAAGAATTTCAAGAATACCTTGAGAAAAAAGGTCTTACTTTGATACCCAAAAAAATTCCAAATGGCGCACGTCCTGTGTACACAAATGGCATAGATGTGGCGAAATCAAATCCGCGCATATCTTTTAAAAGTCCCGAAAGCGTACAGATCTCAGTTGATACTACAGATGCTGCTAGAAATTTTAAAAAGCCCTCAGTATTCCAACGTCTGCTATCTAATAGCATTTTTGCTACAAGGCGTAAAACAACTCCCAAAGATATCGTTCCTACACCCAGGTCATTATGCAATTACAATACGCATGTCAAAGAAAGCAATGATAATTTGCACCCGTCGATGAAACGAGTCATCCTGGAGAGACAAAGTTTTCATGGCCGGCCGCGTGCGACCAACATTTTAAGTTCCGCCGAAACCGATTATCTAAAACACCAAGATGAACGTTCGCGAAAGAGTTATGCAAGTGGCGATAATATTTCCCTTTCACTATCTAGTGTCTTAACCAATGCCGAACTTACACATTCTGCGGAACGAAACGTTCACACTCCCATAATGAAACCCCCGAGGCGCACACATTCCCGGGAACGGCTAGGCAATGCTCAACAAGCGAAACCATCGCAGCAAAGTACAACAATTTTGAAACCAAGAGCCCAGCGATTCCCAGCGGCACCTATAAGTGGAACACATCTCACGTCAAAAAAACTTGAAAGTGAACCAGAAGGAACTCTTAAACGAACTGCTGAGCGTCAGAGTCTCATACCGAAACGAACCACACAAACACTGGACCGCAGACAGATGTTTGGTCGTTCCTCTTCGATGGACCGCAACGAAATACTAAAAAAGAGACTGGTGCGAGAGCTTCAAAATCGCTCAAAAAGTGACAACGAGGCTTCAAAGGTTTCAACTCCCTTAGCATCCAAGGAAAACATACGCGAACAATTTTCGACACTGAACGGACCCAAACTTACTTCAACGCCTATTCGAAATGTGAATAGCGATAACGACAGGAAAGACTTTGTGCAAGGTGCAAAAACTACCAATAAGATATACGTCGACCAACAGGAATGGGAGCGATTGAAGGCAATGAAAGACCGCATGGATAAAGAACTTTACTTCCGAATGTTACAAGAACAAAAACTACAGCAGGATGCAGAAAACATATACGAACGCCTTCAACCAACCCAACAAATACTTATTGCTCAACCCTCTAGCGTATCGACTCAACCGAGATCGCTGGAAACCAATTTCATTCGAGGTTCACCCCAAAGGAACACCTTTTCAGGTTTGACCAAGAATCGCCAAGCCAAAATTATTGACGGAAGAGCACTGATTCCCACCGCCGCCGAATATCCTCTAACGACAATGCAGTCCATTCCTAGTATAAACCACTCATTTTTTGAAGCAACTCCTCGTAGTCAAAGTGTCTTAGATAATATGACTTTAACGTCGAGGCATAGTAACGGTAACAGAAAGGGCTACGAAAGTGATGTGGGCACACCTGTTGTTCTACGACGAAAAGATAATAATCCAACGGAACACTTCGAGCAACCTGAACAGCGGCGCATCGGAGGCATACTGACTCGAGATGAGATTTTGCAAAAAGTGAAGGAATTTTGCAGAAAATCATTAAATAAAACGCCCACTCTTCAGCAACCACAAGTGGTGGCAATTAACAAGAAGCAACCGGGACCCTCCGACCTATCACCGGTATCGTATGCTTCTGTTGAAACGAATCTGCGGCCACCTTCGCGGATGTATGCTGCTCCACAAGTTCCACAACGCATGCAGAGCCTGCCACAACAGTTCATTCCAATAAACCCGAACACATCATCGCCAATATATGCACATGTTGTGAAAAGAAGCAGTTTACTATCGAATCATTCGGGAATTTACGACAGCCCGCTAAGAACAAGCCAGGAGGGGCGAGATGTGGAAGCTCCAGCAATGTACATTAGCCGCGGAAGCTTGGCAGCTCCACAATTTGTGCTTGTTGAGGGCGATAAATGGGTTCCTGCAACGCAAGTGATTGGCTATTATCCCAGCCAGAGTGATATCTACGCACAGCCACACTACGTAAGGCCATATAAGTTGCAACCGGTTCCGGGTGCTTATGGTTACATAAGCGTTCGTGAACCCCAACCAAGGCAGCAGTTGCGGCCCAGGTTGCATGATGGACGAAGTACTCCGTTGATACTTGATAATTCAAGTCAACAGACGAGTCAAATATATTGGGCGCCACATAACCAGCGTTTGCAGCAACACAATGGCCTTCTGCCGGTGGATATCAGCAGCCCCCGCTACATATTCAAGCAGCTACACCCTCAGTCTACAACTGGAATGGAAATAGGTAATAACAAACCGATTCCTAACGCGGCTGGTGCTCAACAACAACCGCCTCCAAAAATTGAACGTGGATGCCCGCCAACTAATCGCCAGCATCAAATGAAAATTTCTACCGATGAGCTGAGAGATTTGAACATTCAACACCCGTACGAGTGGGAGAGTGGCTCAGAAGCTGGTGAGGTCCAACGCATACTGGAAAATCCAAGAAATAGTGGTGAGTTCAGAGAAATTAACTTCTTAAGGAATCTCAAAAAGAAATTTTCTCGCTTCCTTTTTTGAACATCTAAGGTTTATGTATCTGTAAGTGCATGTACAAGTCCGTATGTTTAAAAATTGCTCGAAGATTTAGAGTAAGTTTCAAGCATTCCATTTCAATGTCTATGGATATTTACATAGTACATAGATAAATACATATGCATATGTGTGAAGTGCACTTGTAAGCAGACCTATGTATGGGGCATGGTGCAATACAAGGTGGTATCAGTTGTGACAGCTCGATTTGACACTGCCTTAGCTCAGAAGAATAAGAAGAAAAACGGGAAAAAATTAATCCCCATTTGGGGGAAAAATATAAAATTTCATGTTTTCTTCTAAACAAAATTTGCCTTTTTTATAGTATATTCGTAATGAAATGAAATAAAATAAGTTAAAATACCTTTTTGAGAAAAAAAATTTGTATACTGTGAAAAAATAAAAAAACATTCAACTATATTATTAGGCAAAGAATTGTTACAGAAGTAGCACTGTTTCACCTAAGGCAGTCAAAATGGCGGAGTTAGAGCGAGAAGCTGCCAACCGATAACACCTTGTATTATTGCATCATGTGTATGGGGTGCTTTATTAGCTACAGGCAAGAACCAAAAATACAAGATCACGCACTCTTGTTAGTAGCCCGTTATAATCGCATTAAGGAAAAAAGTTGGGCGATTTTGACATTAGCGGTTTGTTGACATTTGTTCGTTTTTTACAATTTGGAGGTGACTTTTTACTGCAATTTTCGCTTGTGACAACGTGTGTACACATAAGGTAAAGAATAATTTATGTAATAAAACGACATGATTTATAGAAGAATTTTCGTAATAAAAATGATTATTCATGCGTTCAACACTTACGCGGTTTTCTGCGTTCTCTTCGTTGTATTCCGTCGTACAACAAAGATGGCGTCGAGATTTCGACAGCTAGAAAATAACTTTTTTTCTTTCTTTCGTTCGTGCGTGATCTTGTGTCTTTCGTTCATGAGCTACAGGTGTCGTTTTTTGTTTACGATTTAAGTCTACTACGTTCTGTATGTATGTATGCATGCTTGCGTTCGAAGCACCGTGCCAATTTTTCTGCACCAGAATCAGTGTTGCCAGAGACAAATGTCGTTTGGAGCTAAACGGCGGAAAAAGAGCTAAGTACAAGTAATAGTAGTGAAGAGCTAGATTCTTTTTAAGTTGAGCATTTATTGACGTAAGGTGGTTTTAACATTTTCCACAATTTTAATAAAAAACAACGAAGTTTATAAGTTTAAATGCTGAAAAAAACTTTCAAAATAGGAAGTGGGCGTGGTTATCGTCCGATTTTAAAAATGTTCGGCCATTTGGTATGCTGTACCAAGGCCAACTATTGTTCCAAGTCTGGAAGAAATTAGTGCAGCGGCTACCAAGATATACATATGTAATCATAAGTGGGCGTGACTACGCCCATTTTCCAAAAATTTATAATATTCTTATTTTTCGACTAAAAACCATTGCAAATATCAATTCTTAGTGAATAATCTTCAGTAGTTACTAAAATATCGCAGTTTTCGTATTTCTGAAAATTACCGTTATATGGGAGGTAGGCGTGGTTATTGTCCGTTTTTACCCATTTTCAATGCCATCCGTCCTACGCCTGAAAGAAGTGTACATACCAAGTACCAAGTTTCGTTAAGATATCTCAATTTTTACTCGAGTTATCGTGTGCACCGACGGACGGACGGACAGACAGTCACCGCTTAATCGATTTCTCTTTTCATTCTGATCATTTATGTATACATATGTCTATATCTATCTCGGTTCGTTTAGCCTGTTACAAACAACCTTTATGTGTGTGTTGTGCACAAGTGCGCTCGGGTATAATAAAGATCTAGCTCCAAAAGCACCAAACTGGCAACACTGACCAGCATCCATGCAAACATTGATTTATGTTTATGTTTATATGTATGTGATTATACAAGTACTACATAAGACCAGTATGTAATATATTTTATGTAACTTCATATGTAAATAAAGTCGAATTTATTTATTTATAACTTTATATTCGATGAGTTGTCTCTTTGGAATTATTCAAAAACATTTCAAAATGTTTACCCCGACTAATTTTTGTTAGATTAGAATCTAACCGTTAGATAGGTTTCATCCACTGTTCCACAACTGTAGAGGGAGCATGGGGGAAAATGAGAGAGAGAGGGGGACCATTACTATGTCAGATATGTCCGAACGAAGAATAGTCGGTTATTTTATACCCAAAATAATTGCAGTTTACCAAGTTATCTCCTGGTGTCCTCCTATAGAAAAATCGTTTTTGTAATGGTTTTGCGTGTATATCTCCAAATTGTTTGATGTAATCGGATAATTCATTTAGTGATGTCCCGGATATACTTTGAGTGTATTTCGTTTAAATTTTTATCCAAATCGGCTGATTACTATTCCAGATGTACATAGGTAAACAACCACGCACATAAGACCAAAAATAAAAAATAAAACGGTTCAGGGAAGCCTGGCCTTTCAAAGGCCGAGTGTAGGGGCTAATAGAGCTTTTAATGAAGATTTAAATGAAATATACATATGCATTTTCCATCACCGCAGTGCTGAGAATCTTTTCCTTGATTGAAACATTCGATTCGTAATACGTTAGTGTTTGGCTGAGCTCTCCTCCGATTTGTGGCGTGCGCCTTGATGTGGTCACACAAAGCGGAGGGACATACAGTTTTACGCGGACTCCGGACGGCCATTGCCTGCGTACTGCTAATCACTACACCACAGCGGTCACCAGTCTGCAGCTATGCTTGTCTCCCTCTATCACCTAAAATTTATATCCGCCAAAAGAAGACAGGCTGACAGGCGAACGGCGAATCCCCACGGAAACAACAATACTTCAAATCAACTGCAACGACCTCTAAAGTTATGTGTCAGGGATAACTAACTTTATAAGTCGGCTTGGAATAATTATATGTACATAGCTGTGGGTAAATATTCTGCCTTATCCTGAGCTACGCCTGAAAAAAATGTACCATGAAAATTTGTCATTCGCCCATAGTAAAACCATGGAAGCCAAAAGTGAAAATTGAACCGGTTCGGGGAAAATGAAACTCTTGATAAGGCTGATTAGCTTTAGAAAAGGCGAAACGCACTGAATTGAAAGGCGAAATATACTTTCCGTCCTTCCCATTTCTACGGACGTCCGAGTTGGCGAACGTACTTTCTTCAAGGCAACTACTAGATTCATACTCGCCGGACTCAGGCGGAACAATTCACAATACACCCATTGGCAGACAAGACTAAACAACTCGTCACCACATTTCTGCACAAACTGCTAAACCACAGCAATCCACTTGTTTTCCACAGCGGTGAAGTATGGATAGTCATTGGGAAGGCTAAAGAGTTCAAAGCAGAGACATAACTGTTATAAGAGAAAAAAAATAAAAGCCAACCAATAACTATTACATTAAGATACAAATTTTTCGAGTCATCTATAATTATTATTCAAGGACTTATATAATAAAAGTCCTTTCATAATGATTTTCAGAGAGATATATATGTTTAAGTCTTCAAAGACTTTTATTTTAAGACTTATATTATAAAAGTTTTTTCATAACAATTATCATTGACATAAATATTTTTAAGTCTTCAAAGACTTTTATTTTCAGGACTATATATATAATATAGTCCAAAACTAGTCCTCAACTGGCCCCAAAGTTCCAAACTGTTTTAGAACTGGGCCCCAACTAGTCCCGAACTAATCCCGAAATGGTCCTGAACAAGCCCCGTCCTTAACACTTAATAACGTTTTTCGCACTCATAATTATTATGAATAGACTTTTATAATATAAGTCTTTGAAGACTTAAAATTTTTTATCTCATTGATAATTATTATGACAAGAATTTTATAATATACGTTTCAAACTAAAAGCTTTTGAAGACTTAAAAATAGTTATCTCGCTAATAATTATTATGAAAAAGGTTTTATTAAATATAAGTCTTAAAATAATAGTAATCGATGATTTTAAAAAAATTTTCTCACATAATTATTATTAAGAGATAATTGTTTCGAAATTTTGGATGACTTTTTTAATACTCGACAGTGAAATAATTACTATTCTGGGTCTCTGGTTCAAAGATATTGAAGAGTTCCCTTCCAATGATACTACAAGTGGTCTGGGGATTTTGTTTAAATAGTCGCCATTCATCGATGCCAACCGTCCAAACGTAGAGCAATTAAACCTGGGGTCTCTCAGAGTGGTGCCCGCTCTACACTGCTGTTTAAGTTCTTCATATCCAAACTTCACTTCCACCTAAGTGTGCCCCGTGCAATGGAATTAATGCCAGAATCCACCCCGGTAACCCTGTTTTCCTACTTACAGAAGCATATGGATCCGTGTCTAATGTGCCTAATTTTTTAAATAGCCTAAGGTTGGACTGACTTCAATTAGGTTTAAGCACCTTACATCTTTTTTAGGTCGCAGTGCGACTATACCAGACGTAATAATAATAATGGATCGATGGCAAGACGATTGAGCGACCGGTTTTAAATATTGCTGCGCAGGGAATGAAGCTTCAAGCCTGCCAGAATGTCATGAAGCGAGGACCAAATTTTCTCAGCTAAGGGGCATAAGATCGGTTCCTTTGTGATGCCACTGTGGGGGGAACCAAACATTCTTCCAGGTACGTCGGAAGCCATTTCATCGATTATATATACCAGATCCACCCACAGACTATAGACTGGCTTTAACAGCCATTCACATTGAGTGTCAACATTTACCTTCAGCAACTTTTATCCCCTGAATGCTACTGTCGACACCAACTACCACCGCAAGCGACCCGCGTTACTTTGCCTCACTCCGTTCTGGATATTGCAGCAGATTGAACTCGTACATATCCAGAATCATCCTCGAGATACCAACAACTTACTTATGTCTATCACTGCGCCTTCACATGCCCACTCATGTCCACCGGTCAAAAAACCTGCAGTGGAATTCTGACAATCGCTGCGCTAAATTTCCATTGTCAAAATTCTCTAAATAAAAATCAGTGGGACCAAAAAGTACGCAATATGGAAAAGCAACAGATACAATGGGTAACCAACCAAAGCTGGCAGTATGAGGGGCAAGTAAATAGATGTTGCATGCTGATGGGCGCGCCTGCCTTTTGGAAATTTTTAGCCATCAAAATTAGCGATAGCGAATGCTGTAGTCCAATCTCGTCGAAGCTGCAGTGTTTAATAAGCTGCTACCATATAAGTGGCGGTGGCTACATCCGCTGCAGGAATCTTAAAAACTTAATTATAGCTTAAGAAAGAGGTCCTTGTAGAAAAGTTCGTTGTGCTCATGTGGAGTAAACAAAGTCAAGTAAACTGCTGGACTAAAAGGTTTTTCTAAATGCTGCAGATTTTGTCCTGCGCCAACCGCAAACAAAAAGTATTAAATAAAATTTAAAAGCCTAGCAAGCGTGTATGTAAACTGGACAACCAAAATTTAGAACTTACCACACTAGTGGACCAATGCTTTTCGAGTTTTACACCGATATCACAAGGAAAATGCCTCCCATGGTAAAAAATTTAGTATGTTGGCTTCGTTTTCAATAATTTGATTTCGAACATACTACTCGAAAGCAAATTCTCTAACGTGAAAACTTATAAATGCATGCATAATACATTCATATGTATTTAATTTACTTTTACTTAAGAGATGAACGGTGTGAAAAAATTAAGCACAATTCGAAATTAACCATTAAAAAATTTTTTTTTTTTTTTTTTTTAACAAAGCTTATATAATAAAATACAATATTATTATACAAACTAAAGAACGCAGCACTAGCTACATAGGCTTTCGGCTGGCCAGTGAGGACTTGACTGATTATATACGACGGAGAAGATCTGAGTCCTTAAGGAATTTATATATCTTAGAGACGTTACCATGGGAAGGATTCATTAGTAACTGTAAGGGATCAGTATGGTTAAAATTTCGCCGTCTATGAACTTCCAATTCANTGGTAGGCACAATAAGCACAGCGAAATAGATAGCGACCGTTCACGATGAGTGTTCGTCGGTGACTCCCTTTAAAAAATATTTTTTTTCTACCGAAGTGTTAAGAGCGAAATACACAACACAAGCGGCTTGACAAACCAAGCGAAATTTCCCTTTGCTTCAAGCCATTTGGGCTGTCTATGGGGTGTTTGAAGGTTTGACAAACCGCTTGAGGGAAATTTGAGCAAAAATCAAATTTTTTTGATTTTCTGGCCGCCATGTTGACGTTTGATCAAACCGCTTGCGATGTGGATGGTAAAATCGCCTCAATTGCAACTGAAATTTGACCAAGTGAAGACGTAAGGGAGAATAATGGTAGAAAACTAAAATGTTTTACATTGTTAACCGAAAGAACTGAAATTTCACCAAGTGAAGACGTAATGGAGAATAATGGTAGAAAACTAAAATGTTTTACATTGTTAACCGAAAGAAAACTAAAATTCTGTGCTTGAACGACTCATGTTTGCATGGTCTATGGCAAAATGGGAAAAGTATGTTTGACAAGCCGCTTGTGTGGTGTATTTCGCTCTTTAGCTTTTGTACGCAATGTACAAACGTGAACATGGCGGCCTGAAAATCGAAAGAGTTTGATTTTGTTCAAATTTCCCTCAAACGGCTTGTCAAACCTCCAAACACCCCCATACACAACACAAATGGCTTGAAGCAAAGGCATATTTGGTTTGTCAAGCCGTTTGTGTTGTGTATTGCGCTCTTTACGCACTCCGAACGTTCGGACTCAATAACGAAAAACAGCACAATAAATAATTGTATTACTGTGGCAACACTCCATAGCAAATTCGTTTTGACATTTGTCAGCCTGATGTAATGCGTATAAACTCGTCTTGTTTGTCAGCTTGTTGTAGTTTTACGTTTACGTATTTTGCTTCTTGTGCGTTTATTGTCAAATATTTTACTAAGTGAATAAACGATTCAACGTAATAAATAGAAGATTGCAGTGAAATTACAGTTTTATTTGTTTATCCGGATAGCTCCAACAGTGCTGCAATTTATACCAGAAGTTAAGGTCGCGTTGGAGGCCAGAGACCGTGTGTACACACATTTAAATGAAATATATATACATGTATGTATGTATGTACTGTCTTAAGATTGACCTCCGGACATCGTTGATCAGCAGAGGGATCTAAAAAATTTAACAGTCTAAAGGGGTAAAATTCTTGGGAAAATTTTAGTTTGGCATCCCCGGGGTACCAAAGTAAGGAGGTTATGGAGGATGGAGGGGGAATGTAGGGGGAGTTCTGATTGTAAATATATAGTTTTTTTTTAATTTATTGGAGACACAACTCACAACATATCGCTGCTTTACTAAACGACTGGCATAGCCCAATAAACGTGCAAAATTGAGCAAGTTGTACAGAATTATTTTTTTATTCATGTTCATATCTTGTTTATTTTCATGCTTAAAGCTTATGTAGTTTTCCCGGAAGAAGACAATATGCATTTCATTTTTTCTTTGGCTTAAGAGCAACTTAAATGCGTATTCTAAAAAAAAAAACCTTTTTTGAGTTATAAAAGTCTTTTCGTAAATGTGCGATATGTTCATTTGTATGTATTTGCACATATTACGAATATACCTATTCATGTGGTAAATAGCGAACATTTGGTTTTATCGCATCTATCTTGAGGCGGAACAATTGCTTTGTTTTCAAAAATAGACACATCAATTTTTACTGCTTTGAAAGATTTACAAGAAATTCTCCTGTGCTTTGCCTATTCCTCTGTTAACTTGCACTTGTGTGCGCACAGAACTAAATACAAATACAACAACCGCAATTGCAACTGCACAAAGAAACAAAGAATTGCATGTTTTTCGGCTTGAGCAGTTGGGCAATACTTGAAATATTTTCAGAAGGTAAAGATTTACTCAGACGCAACAATGTAGTTTTCGTTGTAGTAATTCATTTATTTTGAAATATTCATTCATAGTAAAATTTAAGTTTCCATCAGAAAGTAGCGCAATAGCAGTGTAAATATTTGCTTACCAACAAAAACTAAAAAAAGTAATTTCAAAATAATTAAATACATTAAACTCTTTTTTTTTAGATTGAAATAGCTTCGTCAATATGAATAAATCAGCCGACGACGCTTCACAAAAGGCCACGTCAACTCCACATACGGACGACGAGTCAATAACTACCAGTACCGAATCGGATTCATTAGAAACATGGACACTAGTAAACGACAAAAATAAAAAAAAGAACCCAGGTACAACCGATGTCGAAGAATCTACAAGCAATAGATTAGAAATATTAAGTAACCTTGAGGACTATGTAGCAAATGACAGCAAAGGGATACATGAAAGTGCTGAGTTCGTAACCGTTTTTTTGCATCATTTTCTTTAACTGATCAATTTATGTTGCAGATCTCGAACAGATGAAGACTCCAATAACGATGACATTTCCGAAGGCATCTCAATTATTAGCGAGAGCGAGAGTGCTGGGCGGGCTTCACCTTATGCAATTGCTGAAAATTTGAATAGCGCGGACTTAAAAAGCTACCCAAATCCCGACGATGTTTCCCCTGCTTCAATGCTCAGATTGCCCATTCACTTACCACAATCGTCATACTCAGTATGCTCAAGTGTCCACACTTTTGACGAAACCACACTTAGGCAACGACGTATCAGGCGCTCCAGTTCAAGTACAAATTCAGAGCGAAAAGCTGTAACGCCAAAAGATGCCAGCATTTTAGATGCAAATCCAGTGTATCCTTTAGTTCGTCGGAGTTTGAAAGGTCTTTTTTTTATTTGCGTTGTACTTGCAATATTGGCTTTCATTGGCAAACTGCGCAATCCAGATTGGCAACCATTTTTCGATACCAAAAATTTACCTGCTTTGGAGCAAAGGTTGACAGATTTAGAATTGCAAAATAATTTAATGCGGGCAGAAATTGACATTTTGTCCAAGCAGTTGAACTTTTTAAGTAGCTTGAGTGAGAGTGGTCGCTTTCACAAGGTCGAAGGGGGATCTAGGCGTCAACAGCGACTTTTTAAACAGACTGGAGAATGGATAATGAAACAAAAGGGAACCAATTCTAAAGAGCTGCCCATTAATAAAGATAGCGCAGATAACTCGCAGATCATCAAGGAGTTAAGAAAACCAATTAAATGCCCAAATGGAGAACAAGCAGAAAATGAAGGCATGAGTGTAGAAAATTCAGAACCAGAAATAAAAAATATGGACAATATTTTCAATGTCGATTATATGCAGCCGCTAAAGAATGCACCGCTTGACGAATCCACAACTAATCCGTATGTTAATGAGCCAACAAAGAATGCTAATAATGCTGACCCAAAAGCAGGCGAAACTGAGTTTAAAAATATGAACAAATATATTAACACCGAAAGAAAAAATTCGAAGGAGTATGAATCCCATAACTTCGAGAAAAGACAGTGGAAAAGGCAGAAAAATATACATCGGGAGAATGACGATGACTTTAGTGAGGAAGATGAGGATGATTCTGCGGAAAATTTTGGCAATAAAAAATTTTCTTCCAAAGAGAGTTATAACAAACACGACCGTAATAAGGAACGTCGCTATAATGGCAATACGAAGGATATACTCTCCGATGAGTCCGACGAGCAGTCGCGTAAGAGCGGTGAATGGCATGGTAAATTAATGCAGCAACGAGAGAACGCGCGGCGCCAAAATGAGTATAGACAGCGTAATAAAAACTGGTATATCGAACGGGGTAATAGCCGTGAGAAAATTCGTCACAGGAGGTGAGGAATTGCTCCGTGTATTCTGCATATAAACCAACCATGTACCAATGTACCATTTACTGCTTCAAATATTATCGATATTTTAATCAATTTAAATTTGTTTTAGTTGGTTATGTATTCTTGTTTACAGCAATCAAAAGTAATGTGGTCTATAAATTATTTTGTGATAAATTGTATTATGTACTACTTTATTTTTAAATTGTAAGTGTATCCTTCAAATGTTTTGTTTCTAACCTAGACTACGAATATATTAAGAATGAAATGTACAGAAATTATACCTACATACTGTGTATATATATGTACATGCATATACATAATTATATATGTACATATATTTAATCATACAGACACAACATAGTTTAAAATGTTTCCCCAATCTAATGTAAACGATTTAAATATATTATTACTGCAAACTATTTCATTTTAAAAATAAACTATTCAAAAAATAAAAAAAAATATCTCATTCTATAGCCAAAGTTTGCAAAGCTGGTTCCGTTGTTTACTATAAAATCAAAGGCACCAATCTTTGCACAATTGTTGAAGAAGTTGCTATGAGTTCCCTTGTTATGTCACATGTAAGTATAAACAACAACGTTTATTAGCCAGGAATAATTTGATTTAGAATTATTCAATAATTTAATTGTAAAATATCTAAGTTAAGAATTAAATCAAGTTCCTTGCCCAACTTAATAGCTTTTAAGTTCTAATTGAACTCTCTCGTTGTGCATACAAATTTAGTATATTAGTTTTTGAAATTTTGGTAATCGCTGCTCTTTTTACAATCATAAAGAAAATTGGAAATATAAATTTGGATTTGGATTTACATTACACAATAGCTTTTCTTAGTTAATGTGGTAAATAGTTGAATTATTTTCATTTAAATAAATTATTCGCTCTGTTTGTATTATTTTTTATTTAGGTACTATTTAAATTTTGTACATATATTTATGTACGCACAACTGTGCTACAAGATCTTTAACAGTGTTTTCCGCAAAGTACCAAATGATTCCTTACTGTAGAAATTTTTATTAGAAAGGATGCATTTTATATGAAACAATTCAATACAACTCCACCACATTGGATTTACATACTTTATGGTCAACAATTAATTCGGGTTCAGAATCATGTGTATGTCGGTGAGACATTAATGATGAGCGTCGCTTAAAACGTTTATTGCAGATTTCACACTGGAATGGACGCTCGCCACTGTGTACTAGTGAATGCCTCTTCATTTGTTCAGAGGTTGGGAAGCCGCGTTTGCAATGGGGACATTCGTATGGGCGCTCGCCCGAGTGGCACCGCTTGTGTGCAATCAGATTGCTCGAATATCGAAATTCACGCCCACATACATCGCACGCATGTGGTTTCTCACCGGTGTGGACCAACATGTGTTTTTTGTACCCGGATTTCTGTGTCATGGACTTCCCGCAGATATCACACTGGAACGGTCGTTCACCGGTATGTGACAGCATGTGTGTTCGTAAGGAGGATGACTGACGGTAAGATTTACCGCACAGATCACATGTATTGGGATTGTTTGGATCATGAATGACTATGTGTCCTTCGTATGCATTACGGGTCTTAAAACCTTCACCGCACAGACTGCACAAATAAGGTGTTGCGTCAGAATGCAACTGCATATGATACTTAAATGAGTTTTGATTACTCAGTTGTTTCCCGCATACCTAAAAAAAAATCAAATATATATTATAAACCAAAAATTATTTTAAATATTTTATATCGCACCTTGCATTGCAGATCGGGGTTTGGTGGTTTTGGTTGATTGTTCTTTTTTCGTATTTTCGGTGGTGGTTTAACTTTTACATCACCACTACTATCCCAAAAACTTTCCTGGTCATCTGCTTTTCTTGATCTTTTAAAATTTTCATTTATTTGTTCACATTCAGTGGTCTCTGACATAGAGCAGTCGGCTTGTGCAATATCTTCTATTTTTACCTCATATATCTCCTCATATCCTTTGTCTCTACCGTCATCCTCACTGTCTGTTTGATATTGATAAACTTCTTCGGATTCCGCAACTTCGTGCACCACTACTTCTTCCCCCTCACAGTTCTGCTCTTCATCTAAGTTAGTTTGTGATTGAACTTCTGAAATCGTTGCCTCCTCACCGTCCATGAAACCCTCTAGAACTGTATAAGCAACGTATTCCATATTTTCCACAGAACTTTTGAATTGTGCAGCCGTAGCCAATTCATGCAATTGATCGCCATCAATTACTTCGGTCTCCTCGTCAGCTTCGTGTTGTTGCATTTCCACAACAGAGTCCGCAGATTCGGTTTCAATGGTTTCAATAACACTGCCTCCACCGGTGTCGGCCATGCCAACCTCACAATCAAGTTCAGTGTACTGCCTCCGCAGCACTTCATCAGCCTCCAATACCATTTTCTTGAACGCGTATGATTTGGCCAGATTTCGTATACATCGCGTACAGATATGTGAAGGAAAGCTTTCAGCCTCATAATTCGGGAACTCCAAATTAGTGATGAAACTCAACATGGACGCCAACGTCCGCACTTCGCCCATAAATATGCCTTGCTTGTGCAACGATTTGTACTCCACGCACTCGCCTATGCATGCGCGACACACCACAACTTCGACTTCATTAGCCTCAGAAACCATATTTAAGTTCGATAGTCCAATAGTCCTCCAGACAGAAATACAAATTGATGTAAACTGTAAACAAATGAAGAAAAAAAATTCACAAAATACCACAAACGCGTTTACTACAAGACGTTTGGGGTGCGTTCAGTGCAGTCCCCCCTACCGAGGCGATTTTTTATGAAATCGCCTTGCCGGCACGGTACGTTTGACGATAATTCGAATTAAATAGTTTGCAACAATACGGCAAAGTTCGGCAAAGCTTGAAGTCGAAAAATAAATCGATAAATAAATAAATAAACTATATATTTTACATAACGTGTTTTATTTAATTTTTATAATTAATCATCTGACCAACACTGATATTACAAACATTTATTCTAACTTGGTGTTTACACAGGACAATTTTGTGAAGACATAACAATTTCCAATTTCCCCTCCAAGAGAACTGGGTATGAATCACGTAACTTTGAAACGATAGTCGTTCAAACGATATTGACAAAATGACCTCGTAAACACACTGATTTTTGCTTTTGTGTTACTATTGCGTATTACTATTACTGTTACGTGAAGCAAAACTGGAATCGAGTTGACGATATCGCACAAACGATCAAACAATTTTTATTTTTCATGAAGCAACACAATCTCGACACGATATCGCGCAGACGATTGTCGTCATACGTGATTCATGCCCTGTCATTTTGATCTCTGAGTTTCCTCTACTTTGCAAGTTTTTTGGACACATGAACACCAAAACTACCCATTTTTTAGAGTATTCTGAATTATAGATAAATTTTACAGAATTCGTAAAGATCTCATCCGATTTTTTGCCGAATTTTCTTAAATGAAATAAATTATGCACACTTCGATTCTTTTATGAAATTTTGAAAGAAAATCGGTAAAGAAATCAAAATAATTATGCTATATGAAAAATTTTCTTGCAGATTTGTTTCAGAATTTTCTGCGAGATTACGATAACCGGGGCGACTTTTATGGGTCGGGGCCTTCTAGTTTTCAAGATATTTAGTGTTGAAACTTTTTTTTCAGATTTTTTATATTATATATGTATTATATCTTATGAACTACACAATCGAGTAAAAAAAAGTAATGTGTGAAAATAAAGATAATTAATTTGTCTTTCAGTTCATGTATCTAATTTATATTATTTTTCATATCTTAAAGACCAAAATATTAAAAAACTAAAAAAAAACATAATTTTTTTTATAAAATGACCTTTTTTGAAGAGATGACGTGATTAATGCTAAAGAAATGTATTATTACTTAAAAAGTGCAAGTTATTACCTTTAATCTGGTATACATAATTTATTATGATCTGATTTTGAGGCTTAAGAATTCAGTGATAATAAAAAATTTAAATGAATTTACAAGCAAGTGACAATCTTACATTTACTGTAGTTTAATCACATGGGCCCGTAGTCATAGTCAAAATAAAGTCGACTTTAAAGTTAGTTGCAGCTTTTTTGAGAGATATCCCATTGAAAATTATGTCAAAAAGCTGCAACTAACTTTAAAGTCGACTTTATTTTGACTATGACTACGGGCCATAAGGTGCCCTCTTCTCCGGCAACGCAGATAGGAGAATTCTACTTAGTGAGGGTAATAATCCCTAAGTGCGCCAGAAGGCCGCCTACGCAGAAAAGTGTTCTCTGCAAAAGGTGTTCAGCCCCTTTCCTTTCGCAACACAGATAGGAGAATTCTACTTAGTGAGGGTAATAATCCCTAAGTGCGCCAGAAGGCCGCCTACGCAGAAAAGTGTTCTCTGCAAAAGGTGTTCAGCCCCTTTCCTTTCGCAACACAGAAAGGAGAATTCTACTTAGTGAGAGCAAAGAACGTAAATCTATAAGAGGAGACAACACGTTATAATTGTAGCGAGTGTGAACATCAGGAGCGTGCTTTCTCTTTTCATCCAACCGCAAAACGTATTTGGGCAAAAGATAAAGCACGCTCCTGATGTGTCCACTCGTTACAATTATAAGGTGTTGTCTCTTCTTATAGATTCACGTTCTTTGGTGAGAGTTATAATCCCTGAGTGCGGCCGCAGGCCGCCTTCGCAGAAAGGTGTTCTCCGCAAAAGGTGTTCAGTGCGCCCGAAGGCCACCTACGCAGAAAGGTGTTCTGCCCCTTATCGTTCGCAACACAGAAAGGAGGGTTATAATCCCTAAGTGCGGCCGAAATACTCTGTATAGTACGGACTGAAGACATGATGTTGTATATCAAATGAAAGCTTGTTTTATATCCTATTGAATTATGAAATATTTGAATATGTTTAATAAGGCAATTTTTAAATAATCATGTGATTGTTTAAATTTTTTTGTAGTTTTTTAGTACAATTGAATTTTTGCTAAAACCTTATAAACTGTATACAACATTTGTAAATCGCATTGTATGACATCAAAGATTTTGAAATTCGTGCTTTTGTTTTCAAGATATTTGGATTTTAAAAGAATTATGAATTTAATCTTTGACCCTTGGTAACTTTTGCAGTTTTCGTTTCCCATCAAAAAAAAAATATATACCATTATACTTGCTTCAGAAACCTCTATCGACGTCCTTGTTCAAAATTTGTCGCCCCAGTTATCGTAATCGTGCCGAATTTTCTTTATTTTTCACACAAAGTTCTTTACGAGCTCCTGTCAACCACTTCATACAATTTTCCTTGAAGATTCGTAAAAAAATCGTTGCTGAAATAAGATACTCCTAAATATTTCGTTAAGATTTCGGGAACTTTGGTTTCCAAGGTAGAAATTTTTTGATAGCTTCTGAAAACTCTTGACTGTATTTTGACTTTTGATTGGACATAACGGCCGTTCCTAAATTTTAGTGTTAAGCGCTGCGTTTTCCATTATTAACGAGTGTCAGCGCGCGCTATTCCGAAATCAACGGGGCATAATTTTAGACGTTTTCTCATTTCCTCTCGTTTTATTCTTGTTTGCTCTTTCACCTTTTTGTCCTTTCTCTCACTCTACGTCTTCTGCATCCAACTTCAACACGTAACGCCCTGTTAAAAATGAAAATTCCATTTGCTCGGCGTTAGCGCCGCACAATTAGGAAAAACATTAACCGAAGATTTTAGTTGATGATACGAGAAACATGCCACGACACTAATGACGGGTGGTTAAAAGCGTATTGTCTTTATAATTCTCTGGACGCCGAAAATTATTTTGTAACGCAAGGTAAGTAGTATATTAAACATCAATTGTTCAGAACGGTTTCAATATCCATATTTATCCAAAGCCTTAAGTTGAAATCTAAAATTTTATACATTTTTTAGAGCAAACCGTAGAACCATATGCTTTGAGAAAAATCGACTGTCGAATTTTACGGATCGAATCGAACTCAAAAGTCGACAAACAATGTAGTCGTTATGACTCGATTAATCGATCTTCGATTTAAAAAAAGCAGTTCTACTTGACAGCTGTCGGAAAATTCCAATACCGGTGCACGAGATTCAAGGTTTCCATTTATGTTTTTGGCCGGTGTGATGAAATAATAAGTGCGTCCAATACGTATTTTATCAATAAAAAAGGGTCAGCAGGTGGCAAGCATGACAATGGCGCAACGAGGAGTACTTGGAATAATGCACAAGCTAGGATCCGGCACAAGAGCGGCGCTCCAGTTTGCTGGGGTACACAATCGCCGGACGTTGAGTAATCACCTTTGGGGCGCAAGTCATAACATTTCCGATAGAATTACAGTGTTTAGGCAAAAGTCGGCTTGTCAGCTATGTGAACGTTTCTATTCTACAGAGAGCACAAGTTAGTTATCATAATTACAGAATGAACTTGTTTAATTTGAGCGATTTAGAAAAGGCAGCAAGCCCGGAAATTCTGTCGAAGTTGTTCCCCCAAACTGCACTTAATGTTGATGAGGAAACTGAACGTGAACGAAAACGCAAGGATGAGGAAGAGGCCAAGGAAAATGAAAAAGCTTGGAAGCGTATGAAAATCGGGTAAGTGACAAACATGTACTTGCATAACATATCGCCAAATATTCAAATGCTGTAATAACCTGAAGTTTGCCCTAGATAATAATATTGTCAGTGTTCATACATACGCACCACGGTATCTTTTACCATAGATCTTCGGTAAAAATTCTCGTATATCCATGGTAAAAATTACTGTATATCCACGGTAAAATAGCCTTTTTAACAGTGGATCCACGAAGAAAATTACCGTGGATCCGAGATTATCTATACCCAGGCGACGATATGTACATGTCACATAACCGCGTCCTGTTTTGGAGTCGTTTAAAAAAAAAAATATATACTGACTTTTACCGCAGATCTACATCAAATCACGGTGAATCCACGCTAATTTTTTGCCATGGATTTATGGCAAATAGACACTTAGAAATTACCGTGGATCCACCGCAAGTTTTCGCGGTAATTTTTTTTACCGTGGATATACGGTAATTTTTACCGGGGATTTACGGTAAAAGTTATCGTGGCGCGTATAAATAGACACTCCCAATAATATTTGTTTTTGTAGATTTGGAGTTTTTGGTGGAAGCGGTATAGCGCTTGTGGTGTGGGCGGTGTATGAATTCGGAAAGCCGGAGGTAGACGCCGAGGGACAGGTTATTGAAGATGAATTTAGCAAAAGTCCTGCGGTTCAACAATACATACAGCGGATGTGGAAGTCTTTGAACTACTATCAAAAAATGATACAAGAACCATCTCGCGATAAACTCTTGCCAGACCCATTAAAACCCCCCTACGTACAACCGCCATACACGTTAGTACTGGAAATGAAAGATGTCCTGGTACATCCAGATTGGACATATCAAACTGGTTGGCGGTTTAAGAAACGACCTGGTGTTGACCAATTTCTACAGGAATGCGCTAAGAATTTTGAAATTGTGGTTTTTACAGCCGAACAAGGAATGACTGTATTTCCCATATTAGATGCTCTTGATCCCAATGGATGTATTATGTATCGTCTAGTTCGGGATGCAACGCATTTTGTAGATGGGCATCATGTCAAAAATTTAGACAACTTGAACCGAGATTTAAAAAAGGTATTCCAAGCATAATAATACGTGCATTATGAAATAATGAAGTTAAATTTTATTTTTAACTTGTAGGTCATTGTTGTGGACTGGGATCAAAATGCAACCAAAATGCATCCTGATAATACATTCAACATTGCGA